CCTACAATATCCACACGAATTATGGGGAACAACAAAGGACCATTAGCGACACAAGAACCATTCACTTACCTACTGACCAAATGCACCAAGTCTTATGCGTAAGATGTTGTGCAGCTGTTCGATGAAGCGAATGGAGCTGGGTTAGAATCCTGCCGATCGCCCAAACAACTCATGATTTCCTTATTGTCAGACAAGTGGTGCAAAAATGGACCACAGCACTCCCCACATTACCGAGTTGCGCATGTTACTTTGCTACAAGACTTGGCTCGAAGATGGGAAGCAGTTTAAACAGCAGCACATTAGAGGCAGATCTTGAAGTCATATCATGGGTCACCACAGAACTGGCCTGCTCATAAAGCACACGACGTATGCCACGAGCGGCAATAGAATCCCGCTTGCTTTAGTATTTGTAATATTGTCACTAACAATCCGACCCACGGGTCTGTCCACAAATCACTGTCTGTGACCGTAGTTCCAGAATGAAGTGCTTGGTTTACAGAATGAGCCTTCAGCTGTACCCTTGGGATTGGCAAAGCTTGAGACCAGAAAAGTTGCTTTCCTTACGATTTTAAATTGGCCTCACCACCAACAAGTGACTTTTGAGTTTTCGTAGACTATGGGGCTACCCTGGAGCAAACCAACGTTGAGGGTGCCTCACAGTGCTTTAATTATTTTACAGATAAGAATCGCAGTCGCATGCTCTCACCGAAAAAGCAATTGCTCGTAAAGAAAAATTTATTTGAAAACAGTAATCCTGCCACATGACTGACTAATACAAAAGTGCTGTGCAATGCAGTTCACGGTCAAAGAGTGCCGATCGAATAAGAGATGAGTTGGATCACGAATACATTTCAACGGATAATAGGTTTGTCATTGATGCCTAGACCAATGTCCTCACAAGTAAATTTCTAAATACTGCGAAGCGGCAACGACCTCACAGAGGAAATCTAGGCGAAAGTTTAAAAACTGATTTTCTGTGGGGCCTCACATGTTAGCTACTGCAACACTTGAATTGTGCCTCGTTTTTAAAAAATGTTCGGTTATTAAGATCGAGGTCCACTGAAGGCGGTGCAAATTTCATGACCATGAGGGCCGGTGGAGCGTTCTTGACGGAGCTGCCGACCATTGCGCAGTGTTAACAAAAGGACAGTGGTAATTAATGAACGCACTCTGGAGGTGGATCAAGAGTTTAGTCGACAGGGGTGACAAAGGTGACACCGACTGATACTCTGTCTTGCTAGACAATGTGTAAAGTGGTTTGGAGTAATTAAAATTTGATTAGTGAAAACTATGGAGAGTTGAAAGTGGACAACACTAACTAACAACGCCACAGTGATCAGTTCAATTAAACGTTGAACCAAGTTGAGAAATAAGAACGGTAACATAGAGGAAAACATACCAAGTTAGAATACGCATGTCTGACACAAATAAGTCGAAAATGACACCGATTAAGTAACAAGTTGTTTAGCCAAATAGTAAATCTGCGGGAATCCGTTCTTAAGACCACAAATGGGGAAATGGGTGATGAAGCAGTACTCTAATCGGTATATACAATATTGTAATGCAAAAATGTGTGAACAGCAAAATGAGCACCTATTTTCTTCGCACATTTTTCCGGGAAACTTTTTGTTTCTTGCGTTTTTGACTTGATACGCGCGGCTGCTTTGCCTTCTTTTTTTTATGCTTCAGTTTTTTCGGATTCATCTTTAGAGCTTTCTTCAGGGAAATTCTTTGCCTAAGCATGAACTTTATTACGCAAACCCGAACATACGACATGCTCGATAGATCCTGCACGGTTTCCGTATGGTCACATTCACTCTAAAGAAACATAAGAAGGAGAAACAGAAACCTTCTTGTTGTCACCCATAAAGTAGTGTGACTGCGCTATGTCGATTTCCTCAACGCTGACTGTATACTGACCAGAGTCTGTAGTTGTGCGTTTCGAAACAACATTAAGCTCATCTGCAAAACCCGGTAACGTGACTGTCTTCAGCTTTTTAGCTAACTGACTGTGATACTAAATTTTCCCTTGGAGGCATAATATTTCATTACTGCATGCTTTACACTTCGAATTTCTTCTTTAAGTAATGCATCATTTTCCAACCGAGCTTTCTCACGTCTTTCAAGTTTGCGCTTACGGAAGCCTGTTAGGTAGTCCCTAATGGAACTAAAAAATAACACTAAATTACTTCCGTTTTAGCTCGTCAAATGTAACATGAAGTCTCCCCTTCCTCGGCATGAGAAAATCAACACAAAATTAAAGTAAGCGCCACGATTATGCACGCCCAATTTCTCAGTGGTCAGTCTGAGGACATCGTTAATTGAAATTTGAACTTGCCCAATTTTTCTGCATAAAGCAAAAAATATGTGAGTCGCAAGACACGCAAAAACAGACCTGAAATAAACTTAGCAATATTGATTGGTAGTTGCCATTTTTTCTACTAGTTTTAAATGCGTTCCAGACCAAAATGTAATTGGCAATGATTCACGTTCCACTCCTATTGGCCAGAAGCTTATTTGTTGTGTGTAAAGGAACGATGCAAGCGCTTAAGAGTGTAGGTCAAATTTCTTTTTCATTATTGTGTTAAAGACTACCAATCTTACTGGTCTTGCCGTAGCTAAAGCCCCTCATAAGGTAACGTTGCCTTTACTTTTTCCATTCTGACAGTCAGTCTTTAAGAGCCGTTTACTCTCGGATTCTGACTATTTTACAACTGATGCCAAATACGGCTGCTTACCGTGTTCATACTGAGAAGCTAGTTAATGAACGCTTGGAATTAATTGATAAGGTTAGTTTTAATAACCTCTAGACCGTTGTAGACATCGGATGTTTCCGAGTTGGAAAAAAAAATTGACTGTGGTCAGATCGAAGAAGTAATTGCTCAGGTATGCTGCCCTTCCATTGTTGACTAGGTTACTGCTTTGTATTTGTTTTTCAACTATTCTTCGTTAAGTTCTTGGTGTTCTTTGATGTGATATGTCTGTGTAAACGTGCACCGTTTATCAATTGCAGGCGAAAAACGAATATGAACTTGCGAAGAACATGTTGAAGTGGAAACCGTGGGAACCGCTTGTTGGTGACGCCCCAGTAGCCCAGTGGAAATGGCCACTGTAATATGGCCACACTCACATACGTATGACTTATAGTCATTAGGTTCAACAATTTTTACTAGAACTCCACTTACTGGCTGGTTTCAACACCGTTTAGAATTTACATTATTGTAGACTTTGGATCATTTGTAACTTTCATCCCAACATTGCGTTATGTTCATGTAGGCTATTTGTTTTTTATGAGGTTGGATTAAGGTGGAAACGTTGAGTTAGTTATAGTTTTTTCACAACTAGCACCCTACTTTCTTTCTGCTAGCCATTACTTCGAGAATACAAAAATCGTCATTTTACTCCAACTGATTTCCGGCTTTGTATCCGTGTAAAACATCGTGGCCAAGTCGTGAAGTATAATGTTACCAAACCACATTGACTCACTGTTCATCGTCGTTACTAGCGTTTCAATTATTCTAATTTTTTCGCTTGCTGCACTTTCTTTGTATTCTAAAGACTTGAGGCTTAACCGTACATTAACATTGACAATGTTTTAAGATGGCTCAATACGCTTTGGAGGTACGAGTGTAATTGCTTGACGATTTCATACGTTCAACAGTGCGGACAGACTGCAATACTACTTTTGTTGTCAAGTGGGCATATTTCGCTCCATTCATGTCATGTTGGGACTGAAGTCTGGTCGTGTGAGAAGCGTGTTGACGGCTGACAATTTACCACAACTAGTTCACATTGTAATGAGTGGGTTGTCATTAGTTAAGATGCCAAACTATATCACCTCGTATCCTTTCTCCAAAGTATTTTCGCAATCTTGGCTACTTTCAGCTAGTTATTCGCGATGTCGTCAATTGTCCCTCCCAGCAGTGACATTACTCAGTCACATAGACTTTGGTTTTTAAAAAAAAGTACATTGTTAGTGGGTCGCTGTTTGCGTCTTTGGCGCTTCTCTTAGTCTGTTACTTTGTCTTTTGGTTACTTCTTTTCGGGATATTTTAGTCCTACCCTGTGATCTGACGAAATTCCTGCTGATACGTGTAAATGTTGTCAAGTTCTCTTATTCAGTTATTGAGCGTATGGTGCAGCTATAGGTGGCTCAAATCGACGGAACGTTTCTTACTTGGGAAAACGCTTTGTTCAATTATAGACTGGTGCCCATAAATCTAAGCTTAATTATTACCGTGTGCATTTCTTTGTTATTTTGGAAGTAGAAACCTGGATTTCTGTGCAATTTGAGTCCAAGATTATTGCTTTTTAATCTGGTATGACTAGTGCAGGTACGTTTGATCGTGCTGGTAATCGACGTCACAAGCGTTATTCACTAGCCACGAGTTAATGGCTCTTGCTTATTCAAATATTGTCTGTGGCACATTTGCCCCGTTTCGCTCGTCGTGAGACGCCACTGTGCTTAGCGGCTGAATAAAATATTGCGTCTCCACTGTCGTGTCAACGTTTCATCAGCTTATTGTTATCCGGTTCTCTTGGTGTCGACGAACGGTAGAATTGAAAGGTGGCTGCATTCAAGCAGCTACGAGGAGTAGGCGCTATATCCACAGCCAATCGGGAAGAACTAAAGGAGCCTAGATGATGTTTCCAACATCCGCATTGGCCTGAATGTGGTTAATTTTTGGGATTTACACGCAATACTATTCAAACGAAGGCTTCATTTTCAAAATGCATATTGCAAAAGTAGAAATAACTTCCTCAAAACATTACGGAATATGACTTAATTTTTTTTAGTTTTTCGATACGTTAGTGCAGAATTACGGTGAAAGTGGAAACGTTTTGAGGCTCTTTGTGAGTATTTGTGGGTTGGTCGTGAACGTTGGTGGATTCCAAGTGACGATGTGATTGATGCAGAGGGAGTGGGAATGAAGATAAAACAGGTGATTTAGCAGGAAAAATGAGATATTGTAATTTCACATCTGTGTGTGTTGGTTGAATAAATTTACCCTCATCTGTGCAAGGTTATTCATGCATCTTGACTGATGTGAGTTGTGCCTTGAAATTTTGAATGTTAGTGGTGTTTCATCAATGGGAAATTTAAATGTGGAATACGAAATTGCACGGATTGATGGCGAACTTTGGTGACGCAGATGAGATGGATACTGATGAGTGGTGTGTGCCAATGCTGATGGGTTATCAGTGTTCCCCCACTCACACAGACATAAGCATTAGTGGATATACACGCTGGAACCGAAGAAGAACAAAAACAGTCTGCTACGGCGCGCAGAATTGGTGGAAGTAACAACTTTCTGCGACACGACACAATTGCGTCCACAGAAATCGCAAAATGCATGAGTTCTTTGAGCAGCCATGAAATCTGAGTGGGCTCTAACATTACGTTATCCCGATGATTGAGGTTATCGTAGCCATGAGATAGGAAAGAGATAGAATCTTTAATGAGTTATTGATGCACACATCTTTAAGTTGTACATAAATTACAAGAGACAATATCTGGTACTGGACCCATCAGAGACGATATTGACTAGCCAAATTCGAGTCCATCTTACCATCGTAATATTTTTCCTACATTACTCCATTGAGGAAGTAAAGCAGTAGCGGCGAAAGTAGCACCTTGATGCAAGGCACCAGATTCGGGTTTCATATTTAATCACATGAATTATCACTTTTTTGGATTACTAAATTCCGACATTGAGAGGACGATTCAAGTACGTTAAAAAATAGCGGCATCGTCTACCTTTTACATATTTCGAATGTTGTAACTAGGAGAGAAGGACACTCTTAGAGCCGGTTGTAGAACTGATCATATTCCTTGACCCGTTGTGGCACAACCGCACACTAAAATCAAATATTCCTTCATGTTGCCGAGTTTCGGCTTTTAGTTAAGATGCCACTTAGATACATCGAATTAAAAACCTTCGTTGACTCACCTTACTCGGGTGCAGATAAAACCACCAAATTTTTAACCCAATGTATACCAACTACAAGTGAAGTTTACCTGTCGATTTATTAGCAATGGACAATTGAAACTTCTCTCATATTGCCAAATTTAAAATATGCATACTTTACAACCACAGAAAAATTGAAGAAATAAGACCTTTCTCCGCGTGGCTTCGTTATTTGTCAGAAACTCCCATAAGCATTTACCTATTATTTACCTATCACAGACTGTTGACCTGGATATTCAAGTCCAATCCAAAATCAGGTTATTAATTATATCGCCAGATTTCCCTGGTTTATATTAAAATTAACGCTGAAGTAGCTGAATCAGCGCACCATTGCGATTCACCTGATTCGATTTCCAAAATAATCTTAAAAATCAAACTACTTCGGTTAAATCACAGACGACATTGCGCGTACTATTCAAAAGGACTCCAAAATCACGCCATGTCTCATCCCTTAGTAAATATCGACAAGCAGAAGCATTAATCTCATTATTCGATAAATTCTTTAGTGTACCATTCACGTACTAAATTGGCCAGATGGTTGAAGTACATTCTAACCTCACACTGTCCCTCAGATTGACACATTGCAACAATTTAAATTTAACGATGGTGGAACTAAATTTGTTTTCTGTAAAGTTTCCAGAAATTGTGAAAAGCTTCAACTCATTGGGGACCAATCACAGATGATACTACCCAAGCGACTCAAACACCCTCAAAAATTACACCACTCCTCTTACTGCCATACTGCATCGGTTTAAATTAAGAACACAGAAGTAGAGGCATTAACAATGTGTTGTGATAGATTTTAATCGGGTTCCAGATATATTCAAACTTAGAGAACCAGCTTGGACGAAGTCTTTGTTGATGCCTGTCTTTCGGTTCAAGCACAAATTGCGGTTATTCCAACCTTTGCTTTGCCATATAGCGCTTGTTTTATTTACGAGTGCCATTAGTGTCCATATCGGTTGTTTGTCTATCATCGAGGTTAAATATGAAATATAGTAATTGTTTAATTGCGTTCCATGTTGTCTGATCGCTATTTCTGCCCAGCTATTTGATCGTCAAATAATGATAAGTTGATCATTGTAGTTTCGTGCCGATAAATGTCTGAATGTAGAATCGTTGTGTGGATGCGAACATCGATGTGGGTGGTTCGGTTTGAGCATTTTAAATAATACTATTTGACAAAAAGGAAACTGCATTACGAAATTTTTGTCCTAGCCAAGATTTGATCAATGGGGCTGGCTGTGAACGGTGATCGATTTAGTAGGTCGATTGCCTGACATAATTCAAATGCTGAGGTTGAAAGATTGGAATAGATTTACATTGAGAGTTGGCAAAAAGTTTATTTTAAGCAGATCTATCATCAATTTCGATTGGTGATTACGAGATTTCGATCCATGCGATTTGTTGTATCTGAGCATGATGTATGATAAATTTTAAAATGTCATCCTGGTGTATTTAAAATAGTAAGTGGTCGACGTCAACTTATGGCCAATAGTTTTGATTGTGTTCAGATATAAGTGGGCTTTGTTTCCTTGAATTGCCAGTTGTGATATTTTTGTAGGTCTTCTTGGGGCAGTCTACGAGGTATTCGGTCGAAATCGCATCAAAGTTTAATTGAGACAAATGCTGAAAGGTCTACCTCAGAGCTTTTTATCAATTAATAATGCTGTTTTAGAGGTGATTGATTAAATCAAAATAGTAGGTTCCACTAGTCGAATTTGCGATGGGATGTCAATTCTATGGGTTCTAAGCGTATTTTCGAAGTGGTGCTTTTATTTATGTCATGTCCAATGGTGTTTAATGGGGCAGGTGAATCGATGGATATGATTTCCGGTCTGATTTTTATACGAGATATTTAAGGATAATGGGGTATGCTAAATAATGATTAATCGACTTAGAGTGTTGTTCGAGATGGTCCTTGTATGCGGAGATGTGATCAATGGTTATTTGATGTGCGAAGATGTTATACGGAAATGATCAAATCAGAGCATGATAAATTACACCGATCTTTAACGATTTATGACAACTTCTAATAGCTAGGCATTAGGCGTTTGTTAACATACTTCGTCTTGTCCGGGTATTTAAGCAATTGCGACGATGAACAAGGTCAATGGTCGACCCCAATACGCAGCTAGAATTAAAG